GTGTGGGCTCAAACAGCACCCCCCCATCCCGCACATCAGCTTGGCTTCTCCTGGCAGGTTCGGCTCAGCTTCCCACTGCCTCGGGCTGCAAGGCAGCCACTTGGTGCTGGAGCAGCGGGAACCCAGTAAGCACCCCCCACCCCTCTGGCCATCCCAGCTGGGCTCGTCCAGGTCCTGCCCGATTCAGGGGCTGGCCATAGCTAGCTGTCTTTGGCCTTTCTCCTGCAGCCCAGCACGCAATACAAGCCCCTGGCCCATAGAACTGACCCCCTAGACTCCATGGAGTCTCTGGCTCAGTTGCCTTTTTGGAGAAAAACCTCTGCTTGGGGGAGGGTGTTTGGGGGTAGTTGAATTTGGGGGATGAGGGGGAGCTGCAAGGGACCTTATGGCGGTGGAAGGGCTTTTCGACGAGGAATGCTCTGCAGCGTTTCCTGCAGACAGGCTTGGATTCGCCTGATCCCCTCTGGAAGTTTGTCCATACCCAGGTCCCCAGCGCTCACGCACTTCCCCTGGCCTTTGGGATCTGCATGCTTCCGGCGGAGCACTGCTGGCACGTGGTTCATAGCCTTTAATCCAGCTCTGGGTGGATGGAGCTGGGGCTTGAGCCATTCATGTTTTTGAAAATGAGGACCTAGGGCAGCCTTCCCCTGGCATCGGCAGCTGACTAGGCACCAGTGAAGAGATGGAGCACGGGCCTGACACGCTCACGGCAGCCCTGACCATAGCGGAAGCAGGCAGCTGCGCTCCCAGCTGAGTCCAGTGCATGGTCTACAGGGACACAAGGGGGTCCAGGAAGGTCCCATGGGGCTGCCCTTCTCCTGTGTCCTCCCATTCCCGGAGCTTGGCTCTGCACCATCACGCTCCATCCAGGACAGCGCCCAATTTCCCCAGCCGGGGGTGGTTGGTGTGTTGGGACCCTGAGTACGTCTGCAGCAGGGAGTGAGGTTTAGACATCGCCCCAGGCGGTTTCAGCGGGGTCGCCCTCAACACACACAGGTGGTTCTTTTGGCTGCCGGAGGGATGAGGGAGCGTGACAGGTGAGGACGGGACAGAGAATTCGGGCCGCCTGCCGCTCTCGTTCCAGGGGAGGAAGGTGTGAGAAGGTTCCCTGTGCTCAGAGATTGCAGGCCCCAGGAACACGGCACCACCACGCAGAGCAGGTTCTTCTAAAACACCAGTTTATTAAGGAAACAACTGAAAGAAAAGCCTGGCTCTTCTCCCCAAAATGGACCGGGCGGCTGAAAGCTGTGACTGTACATGACATTTTACACGGGAAAAACTTCCTGCCCAGGCTGGGGCTCGCCAGGCCCAGGGGCTCCGGCTGGGTCGGGGGGCAGCAGCACTAAGCCCCCCTTTCCTCACAGCCCTGCACAAGCACTCTTGCCCCTCATGGAGACCATGCAGAGCTCCCCATCTCCTCCAGCACTGGTGCCCCTTGCTGGTGGGACGCCCCGTCCTGTCCGTCTCCACAGCCCAGCCTGCTGCTTCTCACTCCCTTCTCACAGAGAACAGCC